TTAATAAGGATAAATTTTTTTAAAGAAAGAAAATAAATTAGAATAAAATATAATAATTAAGATTAATATGAAAATTAGAGATGTAAAGAATGACACAAAAAAAAAGAGAGAACAATATAACAAAAAATAAATTACTAATAAATATCTAATGGGCTTTTAAAATACTTTAAAAATCCTTAAAAAATGTCTAATAAATCTTCAATAAATATTAATAAATACTCAATGAACTTTTTAAAATCTTCAATAAATACTCAATAATTTTTTTTAAATCTAAACTCAATTATATTTTTTTCAATAATAATATTTCCTTTCAATGTAAATTTACTTCTATGTGACTTTAATTACTTAACTTATATTTCAATATAAACTCAATTATATTTTTAGTAATAATATTTTTATTTGCATTTTTAGTAGTATATTTTTAAGGGTAGTGCTATAAGGACAATTTTTTTATTTTACCTTTTTATATAACTTCCATATATCATTAAATGAATAGATGCATTCAATATCACAAGTTTCACATTAATTAAAAAAACTAATCATTTTAATGACACGTCAAGTTATAAAAAAGGATGGAACGAAATAGTTGTCCCAATAGCATTTCTTTATTTTCAATAGTAGAAAAAGGTATAACCCAATTGAAATTTTAATTATCTTACTATATTAATATAAAAATTGTTAAAATTTTCAACAAATATTGAATAAATACTCAATTAGCCTTTTAAAATTTTTAATAAATACTAAATAAATATCAAATGGATTTTTTAAAATCTTAAATAAATACCCAATGATTTTTTAAAATCCAAACTCAATTATATTTTATCTCACTATATTAATAAAAATTGTTAAAATCTTCAATAAAATTTGAATAAATATTCAATAGATCTTTTAAAATCTTTAATAAATCCTATTAAAATATCTATAAAATTCTAAACAATACCCAGCGGACCTTTTAAAGAAACCTTATTGTGAAGATTAATTCGCTGTTTAGTTTAATTATGTTCAATTTCTTACTAAATTTCTATATATATATATATATATATTCTTATATATGCAAATTATATGCAAAGGAACCACAGGCCTTAGCCTACCAGGAATTATGACTAAATATTAATAAAGGAATTGCATTAGAATCAATCAAAGCATAACTTAGCCCATTATAAGTCTCGGTTTAAGGCAACAGTCCTGTTCAATATTTTCTGAAAGGAATAGAAGTCTTATCTGTTCCAAGGATGCAAATATTTTTCTCCTAGATAGTTTTGGCAATTTAAAAAGATTATCATTCAACCAAAAGAAATTGCCTAAATTCTATTACATAAAATAAGTATCAGGTAAGTTTAAATACTGAGTAGCCAAAAATACTAGCATATGGAAGAAAAACTAGTCTCTGCAAAGTAACTGAATATAGATTCTAGCATCACCTGCTTGTTATCAGTTGCTTGAGCATCCAAACGTTTGAAGAACAGCTGAATAAGATACTCAACAACAGAAAAACCATTTCCAATTCTTTTGCTTACAGAACAAAGACACCTGAAACAAGAAAAAAAACACAGAAGGCCCACACCAATTTGGAACCAAAAAAAAAGTTACACTTGGAGAAAGAATTGAAATTTGAACATAATATCATGCATGTATATATTACACTACTATCAAGTAGAACATGTAACCAAATATGTGTTGTCTACATTGGAGAATCACCTTCCTTGGAAAGTTCAATCAAAACAGTACTATGTGATTTAGGCTTTGTTTAGGAATGCTTTTTGGTGCTTTAGCTTTTGGTTCTTTTGTCTTTTTACCATCCTAAAAATATAAGATAT